GTAAAGTTCACTGACAACAGGCTCAAGTAAAGTGCGGTGACAACAGTCTCAAGAATAGTTCATTGGATGCAGTCTCAAGTAAAGTGCACTGACAGCAGGCCCAAGTAAAGTTCATTCGATGCAGTCTCAAGTAAAGTTCACTGACAACAGGCTCAAGTAAAGTTCATTGGATGCAGTCTCAAGTAAAGTTCATTGGATGCAGTCTCAAGTAAAGTTCATTGGATGCAGTCTCAAGTAAAGTTCACTTACAGCAGTCTCAAGTAAAGTTCATTGGATGCAGCCTCAAGTAAAGTGCAGTGTCAACATTCTCAAGTAAAGTTTTTATGCAGAAAAAATTCCTGGATCTGTTTTCATGTAAAGCCAACCTCAGCGAACAGCAGCAGCACTTCTTTTTTCACACCCAAATGCAAGCTATCAGGAATTGACCGTCTATCTTTCTTTCAGAATGTTTTCGTTTTGCGGCAAAGGACATATCCTTATGCAGGTTCCACATGCTAATTTCTTCACATTCCTCAACAATATTTGCATATTCATTCTGCTTCTTATATCAAATTCAAGGAAATTCGAAAACCTATCACACATCTTCTGGCACATGTTTGATGCATGTTTGATGCATTTTTGATGCACTTTTGATGCACCTTTCCTTTTTTTACATTTTACTAATTTTGCAAAAATCAACAAAAAATTTACGTAAAATCTTCTGGATTAGTAAAATTACTAAATTAGTAAAATTACTAGCTTTCGAGACTTAGGGTGATGTAGACAATAGCCACGGGATACTAGGTCGAGGATAATAGCAATGAGCCACTTGAAACTTGCGGTAGGGGTGAAAAGGTGATACGGAAGGGCCACACGGCCTGAGATGTGTGAAACATGATACGACACGACCAGGTTTGTGTGAAACATCAGGTGAAACCGAGACGGAGACGATATGCCGGCCTGAAATATGTGAAACATGGTATAACACGACCAGGTTTGTGTGAAACATCAGGTGAAACCGAGATGGAGACGATATGCAGGCAGCAGTTCATATACGTTTTCTCGGAAGAAGTGGCAGTGAGTACCGAATGTCGGGAGAAGCATTGTTACTCCAAAAGAATCGGCCGGGGCCACTAGGCTCACTGGGTCGCTTTCTTGGGTTACTCGTCAAATTACAAAGTACTCCACAATGATGTAGTGTTCACCAGCGTGATTTGGAATAGTCGTATGCTGAAGAGCGGGATCGAGAGTAGCCTTCACGATGTTGGTCTCGAGAACGACCTTCACGATATGATGAGTAGTTGCCGCGATGTTCATTCGTCGGATTCCGCCATGATGAGTTGTTGCTCCAGTGGTGGTGATTGTAGTCCGAAGTGGCGCGGTCTGTGGTCTCACGGTGTGAAGTTGCTGATCTAGAATGGGTGTGTGATGGTGGGTCGGAAGGTTCAGGTAGATCAGTGACAGTTGTTGATGGTGCAGGTGGTTCAGGATCAGCTGGTGGGTTGGCAGGTAGTTCACTGGGTGCTGTGACCGTGGAAGTGCGTACCGCTGGTGGAGTGCGTGTGATGAACCCTTGGAAAACCGAGTGAGTGGAGGCGACGTAGCATATTGATGCAGCACTGGAGTTCATTGCCGTCGCACCGTCTTTGCCCTTGGCAATCCCTTGTAGGTTGCACAAGCGTTGAATTTGGTCATTTCCTCCCGATAAGGCACGCATACATTTTGGGGAGCGACAAATGGCCAAAGGAAAAGGCCTGATGGGTTTTGTCCTTTCCCAATTTTGTAGAGTTGGGATGCACATAGCTTCACTGCATAGACTTGTAGCTCATCGATGTCGGCGATCTCCGAGGGCATGCCGAAGAATCCGTAGCACGGGTATTGAGTCGGTATGCCAGCTTCGTTTTTTGTCCAAGTTGCCGGGCGAATGCAGTCTTCAGCTAGGATTTTAGCAACTGATTCCCAACTCGTTTTGTGGTAGCTCATATATGTGCCTGCATGTTCACCACGATAAATAGGTTTTTTGGGAAGTCCCGTTGGCACCGTGATGGTCAGCAGATTCTCCGGCTCCACATAGAAGGCCTGTGTTCTCCTTGCTAGATTTAAGTCAAGTAATCGTGCCTGTGCGAAAGCTCTGGCGATGTTCATGACAGTGGCTTGACTGGCTTTGATGAACACAAGGTCGTCGTTCATGGTACGGTATGGCTTGGCCAACTGACTGAACATCTCATCCACGAAGTTGTTGAACAGAATTTTGGTGGGCTGATCAAGTACAGTCCGAAGGGGTACTGTATGATTGGGGTCCAGTTCTGTAAGGCATCGTACTCGGTGTGGATCTGCTGCGGCCGCATTAAGTTCACTGACTTCGATGTCATTTTTGTCGAATTGGGAGATTGAAAATGCTTCTGCAGCATCTGAGTTTTCACTGTCACCATCAGGTAGGCGGAAAGCCACGGCACCAAGTGGTGCTGTTACATGTGTAGGTGGGGTTGATGATGGTTCAGGAGGCGGTGGTCCCACCGGGGATCTGGGTCTGGTAGAGTCGCGATGGTGGTCTGTTGGGTAGTGGCTATGGTTCCAATCGCCCCATGAGTCATCAGCATCAGGTGTGGGAATGAAATTCGGATCCGAGGGACGTGCTGCTGGTCGTAGTATATAACCTCATGGCCTTGAGGATGCCGAAGAGGAGTTCTGGAGCGCGGCGGGGGATTGGAGCGATGACGTCGAGGACCTGTTGGTGAGCGTCGTCTTGGCGGTGACCGTCGTCGGTAAGGGGAAGGTGTTCGGCGATCTTTGGGATGTTTGGTTGAGGATCGATGTCGAGGCAGAGGGGAACGAGGTCGGTCTGCACGTCGATGAGGAGGTGGCCGGCGATGAGAATGTGTAGTTGATCGTAGGGACCGCGATCTCCGTGTTCTGGATCGGGGTCTTCGTGATGGTGGTGTCGACGACCGAGGATTGGGTGCTGGTGGGATCGAGGAAGTAGTATTGTGATCCGGGGCTGTAGGTTCAGTGGGTCTGGCCTTCGCGGCTGGTGGAGGCATTGTGGTAGGTATCGGTGTAGGTGGCGTCAAGGTAGGTGATGGCGTCGGAGGAGTGGAACCGATTGGTGGTGTATCTTGGTGAAGAAGTTGTTGTCGTTGTTCGTGAAGGCGTTGGGAGTCAAGGATCGTCTGCTGTTGAGCTTGAATGAGACGGACAGATTCGACAAGTTGTTGTGTTGTAGAGCCCAACGTTGCCACTTCTGCTGAGATAGACGATGGAGGTGTAGACGCTGGCTCTGGAGGTGCAGCGGGAGGTGAAGCCGAAGAAGCCTTTGGAGCTGAGCGGCGTAGTTTGTCAAGTTTCTTTCCTGATGGAACCTTTGGAGCTGCTTTGACTTCCGTGAATTGAGGTGCGGCTGGAGGAATAGTCGATGTCGTAGTAGCCAATGGTGGTGATTGAAGGACACGAGGTGGGTACGGTGATCCTGGTAGAGGTGTAGGTGGTGTTGTCGCAACGTTGGATGGAGGTGGAGCAGTGGGCCAGGTTGTCGGAAACGTGGGTGCCATTGGAGTTGCAAAAACTGGTAGGTTGGTGTGCAAAGAAGTGGAATCAGGGCTCAAAGGTGACGTTGTAGCAGGTACAAAGTGTGGAGCTGGTACTGCATGAGGGGCTGTTGCAAGGGAAGCGAATGACAGTGGCGGCATAGTGGAAGCTGTCTGTTGGGGCGAGGTCGAAGAAGGCCACGTAGGATGTAATGCCGAAGGTTGTCCAAACAAATGTTCAACTGGCGTTGGTGTGGTTCCAGATGAGTGAGGCGAATTGATCACAAACTGTTGTGGGTCAATCGTGAAGGCGGGTTGAGGAGTTGAAGTCGGAGGTGGTGCTGTCGTTGGCCATGTCATAGGTGGTCTGGGTGTAGATGCCATAGAGGTTGATTGCGGTGGCCACGTCGAAGATGGATTCGCAGGCTGCAGCGGTGCTGGCCATGACGTCGGAGGAGTAGTCCACGGATGCATCGCTCAGGTAAAGAATAACTACAATGGAGGTTGCGCAACAGGTTTCACAGACAGGATTCAGTTCCGAAACCTAAAGTTCGTGCGATTATTCCCTGCACCGGGACCGTGGCCAAGTCATGCCCCAATGGCATAAAACAGCTGTCAAATTCCAACGAATTAGGTGCACAAAATGTTTCACCTCACCAAAAAACCATCAAAAGAAAGAATACCATACCTGCAAGACGTGTGCCTGCCTGGATCCTTGTGTATGTTGTAATGCCACTGACATGACAAAAGCTGCAAGCGTAAAAAGAAGTTTCTGAATGTTCGGCACAGCTTCACTCTGTAGAAATGCATTCCACGGGGTTCACAAAGGACAGCCGGAGCAGCGAGAATCTCCAAAAACGGTGGATAACAGTAAGGCCATCTGTTGCACTATACTTAATTGAATTACTAAATTAAAATGTGTAAATTCGGAAGTCAAGTCAGTCGACATTCACCTTGAAAAGGGTTGCCTCAATTGGCCCTATGGCACCATGTCGGAGTCACCATAGGAATCACACTAGACAAGAATGGATCATTATATGATCCGGCAGGAACTGAATCCTGAAACATGAAGATTAGATATGAAACAAAGAAATTAACGATGCATCCTACGAATAATAGAAGTTCTCCTGAATGGTTTCCATGGCCAAGATCGTCATCAAAAATAAATCGGCGACGTGGTTTTGATGAAATACCCCAAATACATCGGCGACTTCGGCGAAATAATCAAGAAAATCAAAAATACTGTCGGCGACATGGTGTCGGCGAAAATACTGAGGAAGGTTCTGATGCAACTGAACTAATCGTAAATGACCAACGGTAATTCCAAATGTAAATTCCATTGTTTGAACAAACGGCTTAGTGGTTCTTGGGTTAGCCACGTCCCATCACGAGTAAAAATTGCAGGCGTTTGCACCCCCATACTGTCTGGTCTTCGTTGGCCAGGACAGTGATGGGTTCCTGGCCCCCTGCAAATTAGTGAAAAACCAATGAGAAGTTTTACATCTGTTCAGATGATACACACACACACAATATTCTTGATTGGCACGGTATGCCCATTTGCGACCTCAAGGCTTCCGCAGAACTGCTCGGGATAGGAACGTGCTGCAAACTGCAAAGCTTTCGGCGCCTGCCCTTATGTTTGGGGTGATGCGACTTGGTGTCGTTCCTGAAATGATGCTGAGGGCGGGCAATCAGGGAGAAGGACTGATGGAGAAATATGGAGAAATACAAAACATACGTATATTCTATGGAAGCCACTGGAAGCCCCTTTCCAAGCCAATCGGTTGATGCTACTTGCTACTACGTTACTACATCCTACATGATGCTACTAGCATCTACGGGTGAATCTTGGGTCTGTGTGTCACTATACTTCATTGTGAGCATCTATCTACCATACAGTGTGTCATACTGGTAGCTTGCAGGGAGGGCGAGCATTTCAAATGCTACCACTCATCCGAGAGCCGGACTTTTCTATCACGCCAGCCTGCACGGATGAAGTTGCTTCTTGTCGGCCATGTCTTTTCTATTCCATTCTATTGGCAGCCCCTTGCTGTCACACCTGGTTTGGAGTGCCCAATGCTAACTCTTCAAAGTATTTCAGAGTAGTCTGCCATGCCATAGTCTGCCTCCACCATCCGTTGCATCAAAGTGCTCGTCACACTGCGAATGAAGTGTCTGTCGGAGTCCTTCAGCTCACCTGCTTCGGCCGAGGCTGGGTGGTGGTGCGCGTGCAAACGCATGTCCAGGCACAATAGACTCCCGCCAATCTTCTCAAATGAAAGGCCGAAGCTGCACAAAAACCACTTTCCATCATTATTTAGGAAGGAATGTTACATATCGCCGCTTCTGCATTGCTGCAAGGCTGCAAGCACGTAGCGCACGGTCTTTTGCAGCAAAAGCAAGAGGCTCAAGGAGATCCGCATCTTTGTGCTTTCGACTCCCTGGCCAGAGCCTTTCGCAGGCTCAAACCAATAGCACTCTAATGAGACTCCAATGTTGGTTTTTTTGTTCCACGTATTTCCACATATGGTTCTATGATGCTCAATGGCTTGACAGGAGGGTACCATAGCCTTTGATCTTCTTCTGGACACCAGCACTGCGTGCCTCACAACTCTCCATGGCCGCAACCCAACAAACTTACAATATGCTCATGGCTCTCAACCAACAAGGCAAAAAATTACCACTAACAATACCAAGCGTTTGACACAAGCCACTGCCATGTATAGTAGCTCAGTCAAGTGTCCATGTGCCACAAGAAAGCCTGCGTTGAAGTCACCACCGGTTTTCCGAGTCTCTGCTCCAGTGCATCGAGAAAGTCCGGCTGGCACGCACGAAAACCACTGCAGCCGATGACAACGACCTTGGCGGCAAAAGTTGAAGGTCTTGGAGACGGTCATGTGCCAAAGATTGTGCATCCAAAACCAAATAAAGTAACAAAAAATTTAGGGCAAAAGCGCCCTTAAACAAACGGAAAGACACATCCGCTTGTGGAGAATCAGTACGAACTGCCCAATCTGCCTTGGAAAGTGAACACTTCATGCTCCCAAAGAGATGACGGCAAGCCAAGGGGAATTGTAATCTAGGGACAGGTTCAGCAGACCAGGATTCGCATTGGTCACAAAAACACGGAACTTCAAATCACTTTTTTTTGGGGGGTATCCTTTCATGCAGAAAGGTGCGGTAAGCCGGTAAGCAATCAGGCAAGCACTTGTCAAGATACGATTTCAGCTGGCGGCACCGCTGAGGTTAGGTCATCGGTGGGCAGATTCATTGTCAACCTGCAGGGGTCTTTCAGGGTAAACAGGGCGCTGAGTTTGCCATAGCTGGCGTGTTTCTCGGCTGCATCATCGTGCTCTGTTGCGTTTGCCACTTGCCACAACACAGGACAAGATGGACAAGACTTTCGGGTCACCTGCTCACCACTCGAAAGCCACCCATGGACTCCAACATCTCCGCATTGGCTTGACTCAACTCCTCTATGTAGGGTGTCAGCAAAGCTACTTGTTTTGCCTGCTCAGGGCCAGGCAAATGCAGAATAGGTTGGCTTTGGATGGGCTCATGGGCCATATGGGACAAATTATGGGACAATTTGACATTTGACTTCCACTTGAAGTGAAAAACAATGGAATGAGAGAACTTCTTTGTTGCCAGTTCGCTTCTGCCAGGCCCCATTTCACATTTATACATCTATCATCATCTATCTGCCCGTTCTACTTATGATACTTCTGAAGGATGAGGTGCTGGAAAATTGAAGTGTGACATAGGATGACATCCAAAAACTGCTTGCGTCGCTGACGTTCTGACAACTGAACAAATCACGGCATGTCTGCTACAACTCCCAACACCGACACGTGACAATAGATGAATCATAGATGTGTAAGAGCCAGCTCCAGAGAAACGGAGAACCATGCACTCACCATAACTCACCCAATTCAACTTGACGGATCTTGACGGGGCTGTCACAATGTGAAAGGACCCTGAAGCACATCCAACACACCTTGCTCCGCACCCCTTGGCTCTTTGATTCTACGCCACACCTTGCCCTTCCCCGCCCCTGCATTGGTTGCCTGTAAGGCTTTCAAAGCTTCTAGCTGTGCTTGTGCCATATCCGTGACTGGCACCCCAGGGTAACCTCAGCTTCCAAGGCTCTGCGGGTTGGAGTTGTCCTTTTCCCAGGGGATGAACGCGTTGAAGCTTGTAATGGACCATCTTGCCCTATGGGTATGCCCCCCCATAGTCATCACCTGCTTCATCACATCATATCAGGGAAAAGATGGGAAAAGAGAGATATTGACATATGATACTGAATCTGATACTGTTTGGGCTGAATGGGGATTTGACATGCCGCCTAGAATGTTCTCCATCAAATGTGCCATTACCTTCCTGTGGGGTGCCCCAGCTTGAATGCTTGGAAGGGCTGGTTGTTCGTGTTCGGTGCTGTTCAAACAAATCAAGTTGGTCCAATCTTCCTCCGATGGGAGCAGGTCTCACAACATACCATCTTACAATCTTACACTAATATTGGAAAGGTGGAATCTGCAAACATTAATAGCAGGATGTTGCAAATCTTTCTCAGTGCAAAACCCCAAGGCTATTTTCAGATAATAGATGTGAAAGACTTGACAAACTATACCATACCACAGTAGCAATCTTACTAAAGCTGCACACAATCGGCCCGGTTTGACACATGTTTATACATTTTTCTCATCTTCGATTACCCAAAGCAACAAAGTGGTTGCCAGTTGCCATGATTTTGCGAGATCCAAGATAACAGATCAGGATTTCAATCAAAGACCGCCGGTTTCAGTCCCCCAAATTTGCAAGACAAGACTTCCAGCTGATTCAAATTTGGACGGTAAACGAAGGTCAATGGAAGTCATGGAGATCCCAGGAAGCCACCACAGCTGGCTACTCGACTCTATTCACAAGACCTGGCAATGGAGTCTCTCTTCTGCCCTAGCCATTCCTGCCTGCACTGATCTGCTCACGCACTTTGGCCGAGCCTGTTGCAGGAAGTGATTGCTGATGCAAAATGTGTTGGGAGTTTCAACATTGTCCGCAAATGGTCTGGCGCACTCAACTGCACAATGATTTTCAAAGCTTGTGCCCAGCCAAGGTTGATGCTTACAAAAGGTTAACCCGCTCAGCCTTGCCTAGGGTGAAGGAAAAGGATGTGCATGACAATCCAAGGACGTCGCACTTCTGTCCAGAGGATACCTCAAGGCGTGGCCACGCCTGAAAGGAAACTCAGGAATCAGGAATTGTAAGAAATAGCTTTCCCTGCTTTCCCTATAAACTTTCCAAAACAGGACTGTCAAGGACTTCTGACTTCTGGTTACGTCCGCGAGGCCAGCATGATTCTTGTTGCATCTTGTAGGTGAAGACGGGGTATGAAATGGATGCAACTGTAGCAAGAGGTTTGTTTCAGACCTAATGCCCTTTGCATCAAAGATGCAGCAAGGGCTGCCAGGGTTTTAGCTCCTTTCGTGAGTTCTTCACGCTGCATCGCACGCAGGTAGGTCCCGGCACAAATGTCCTCCGAATCGAAAGAGACCTTCGTGGCAAGATGCCGAAACAAAAACAAGTGTAGCGTAGCCTTGCAGAGCTCTGACACCTCTACTAGGACCTCACACGTGTCAAACAACACGGAAGCATATCCAGGATCCAAAAGGGGGGAAAGGGGGCCACACCTAATACAGAATGATGATCGGTATCTGCATGCAACTCTGCAACTCTGTGTGTGTGTGCTAAGGAGCTGCCTTGGTCATCTGGATGTCTATGCCCATCTGCTCTGGGAAAGGTGGCCCTTCGTCTTCCAACGTCACATCACTGGGGATCTGCACGCAGCCCAAAGTTGTGCGCGATGGCACAACTCGGCCCATGGCGCTGATCGCCCACAAAACACCAAATGTGGTGCGCTTGCGGAGACTCTGAGCACAACAGCAGCCTCCAGACCAAATAATGTTTAAAATATATATAAACTGTTTAAAATTGTTTAAATGTGTTCACAATGCTTTACCCTCACGGTTCCGGATGGTTCCGGAATGCGACAAGGAACGGTCAAACTCACCCGCAGAAATTGCAATACATAACTGGCATAACTGACTCACATGACAACCTGGCACTGACCTAGTCAGCCCTACACTGCCTATACCTCAGCTGCAATTGCCCCACCTGACTTTGTGGTGTTGATCATCCCCTTGGCACCCAGTTCAACAGCAAAAATGGACAAGGTCTGGGAGTTTGCGACATCAAAAAGGAATACGAAGAATACTGTATCACATAATTATCACATAGTATCACTGTATCAGATTGCATCCGTATTCCCAATCTGCATCACACCTGTTAGGATGCCAATGAAAGTTTGGACTCCCATCCCTGTCACTGCCTGCAGGCTTCCTGGATTCCTTGCAGAAAACTCTATATAAAATTCCCACCGCTGAGGAAGAGACGCGCATCACTTTGACTGCACTCTCAGACATCACCCTTGCGTGAGTCCACACCTTGCGCTCGACACTAAGTGGAAAGGGGATACAGGAAACCAACTTTCCAAACACCAAACACGATGATTAGTCAACTTGGCACTGTTCAGCCCACGCCATGCGTAAACTATCTCTACACCGAGATGATCCGTTGGCTCGCACGCAGCTGAGCCAGGGAAAGAGTGCAAAGGCTAAGCCAGGGCAAAAGGTCAGGGTCCTTTAAAAGATCAGAGAGTGGGTCGAATCAAATCAAGTCGAAGAAACAGAACGCATGTGTCACACACCGGAAAGGAATCCAAGAACTGAACTCCAGTTCTTGGTCAAACCGTCTCACACAAAAGGCCAATCAATCACTTGTTTGGGACAGAGTGAGCAAGTCCGCACACCTGTAACTTGTTGCCCAGCAACCACAGCACCAAAACATGTTGGAACATGTGCCAACTTCATCATTCTTCCCGATCAAAAAAATGACCTGCCTTCCCAGCATCGATACTTTGCCACAGCTTTTGTGCAGCAACCTGTGCAACAAATTTTGATTTCAATCCACACAAAAGTGCAATAACAGGTACACGGTACAAGCTAATGTCTTCTCAATATTCCTTCAAAGATTCCACAATCATCAATGTTCCATGCATGGCCAAGATTTTGTTGGCTTTACTTTCAATATTCACAAAGTCCCTGACCAGGGTTTTTCAAGAGGGGTGCCCTTTGTGCCGGGGCCTTGAGCTCGTTGTTGTCCGATTTTCGATGCTGTCTCAGGCCTCAGCGAATAGAGAAACATGCCGAGCTGCCAAACTCCTCTTAGTTACACAAAGCACATCAAAGCACCATTTCCAAAAGTTTGTTCCATGAGGCTCCGCACATTGCAAGAAAGGTCTAATGTGACAACTCAGTGTGGCCAAAGCCTCTGCTGATGCCAAGCGCACCGTCCACGAGGAATCCTGCAATGTCAATGGCACCCAATGTCAAGATTTGCACGGGAGCCATCTTGCAATTTGACGGCGAAGCCTTTCGGGAAGCAAACAACAAGTGCGAAACTGGCTGTCTTACTGACAAAGGTATGCAACATTCCATCGAACTGGACAAACACAGGCTCACAATCAGCCATCTGAATTTGCTAGTGGAAATTTTATGCAATGAGCTGTTTTTTTTCGCCTCCTGCATATTGGATAGTCCCAGACTTGCGGGTCATACGATTCCCCCCGGACTAGAATACATGCCGGGGATAGGCCTCTAGTGCGAGGCTATGGCGCCTTCACTTTAGGCAAATCTCTCATGACTTGAGGTCAACCTTTGGTTGGGCCTTTCTTCACAGAAACAAACACCTCACACAGCCAGGTTTAGCCATAAAGGTCGTCATCGTCATCTGCAGCTGCAGCCGCGCTTCCGATACCCACATCATCCGGCCAGTTGATTACAACTCCACTGCCACCAGCACTGGAGTTCATGTAGATAGGATCAAATTTCTTGCGGAACTGGTCGTACTTGGCGAGGTCAGATGCTGCCACAGAGCGCCTTGCTCCACCAAAGGCCTCTTCAAAGTGTTTGCGGCCAATCTCAGAGCCCATGGTGGTGTCCATTGCATCATCATCGCCTGAAACATTTCTCCAACCAGCGGGATGTTCCACTTGCTTTGGCTGTAGTTTGAACCAACATGAAACCCATTTGATTGAGCATGTTGATCCGATGTTGAGTTTACCCTGTCCCATTCGGGGAAATGTTGAGCCCAGTTTTAGCTTCTGTTCGCTACGTTGGGCGCTTTGGGAAACCTTGCTGCGCTCACAGAAGTTTTCGGCCCCTAAACACCCAAACGCTAAGCGATCCTCAGAACACACAGTCAGTATATGGGCCTGTCATCGCTACCGAAGTCTATAGACGAGTTCTAGATGTTTAAAAAATATTGTCCCGGCAAGAGACCCCAAACAGTGTGCTTAAGGACATGCAAGGTAAAGTCAAGGGAGGAAAACAGAAGAGGAGACATGAATCCAGTGGGGTCTTCAGGCCCGGGTACGGAACGGAGCTATGCAGCCGCAGTTTTTTATTCCCAAAGAGGCACATCAGTGTGAGTGGCAGTGCGCGATGTCGCGGCAGCAGCTGGTCAGCAGGCTGGCGGCGGCAGCAGAAGGTCAAACGGTGGCTGGCTTGTCGCGATGCCGCGGACATGGGTCAGGTTGTGTTCGCAGCATGGGCTTCTGCGAAGCGGGCGCGCACAGCGTTCCAGATAGGGGCTTGATGCGCTGACCGGCCATCGCAAGCAGCAATGAATGCAGGCAAAAGCTGCAGGGGGCAAAGCCACGCTGCCTGTGACTGTCGCCGGAGGCGATACCGCGCTACCTGCCGACGCTCCAGGAAACGACGCCGCGCTACCACCAGAACTGTTTTGCAAAAGCCTGATGCAAGCACTTCGGAGCTCGGCCTGCAGGTCTATCCTGCGGCACCTGCACTAAAGCAAGCAGAAGCTCCACAACTCGCGTCGCGTCTGGTGCCGGCACGCAGACGGAGCTGTGTTCAGCCAGCTTGTCTTTCACAGTGGAAGGTGCGCATTCCAGCAACGAATCAACAGTAACGGGCGGGAGCAGGGTCAGGATCTACACACCGTCCTGTAGCTGTTCTATTGACAGCCACTGCTGCCCGACCCTTGTGCGAATTCCCCAGCGGTGGCAATCACTCCGCAACTGCACTGCACCAGCGGACAAACTGTGCAGCAAGGATCGAACTGATACTGCAACATGTTCCTGCAAAGCGCAGGAAGTCAAAAACCGTAAAAAGGCAGTATGCTCATCAGGATGTCCAGGCAGCAAATCGCCCAACGTGTACTGCGCCATGTGGTCAGCACGCCCGGTATGAGAATGGCAATGCTGCAATGCAACCAGTGCCACGACTGTTCACCTACAATCTTGTCATGTGCTGGTCATGTAATGCCGCACGTGCAACTCTGTGACTGTGTCTGCGCGAACCCAGTTCAAATGAGCCTCACGCCTGCAAGCGAGGAGGAGCAACAACAGCCCAGCAGAGTGTCATTCGAGAAGCATCGAATAAAACAGTGTGCGTGTAGGATTCTAAGGGAAAGGTGGAAAGGACCTATAATCATCAGTGGCTGCAAGCTAGCAGGACAAGAGCGACCCGAAGAGTGAGAAAAAAAGATACCAGGTCAGATTCTGCAAGCTCCCTTTGTGAAGATCTCTGTAGAAGAGGTTCTCTGTAGAAGCTGCTGTGCAAGATCCCTGTGTGAGGCTATCGGCACAAGGTGCCTATAGGAGATCTCCACAGAAGATCTTTGTAAGGGATCTCAAAGGAAGATCTCTGCCCAAGCTATCTAGAAATGATCTCCGAGGAAGACCTATGCTCTCGTCACCAGGTCTCCACACAAGATCTCCATAAGAGGTCTCCTGGCAAGATCTCCGCACAAGATCTCTACAAGAGCTCTCTCTGCCCAGGTCTCTTTGAGGTCTCTTGGCAAGACCTCTGGACAAGATATCTATAAGAGATATCTCGGCAAGATCTCTTCATGAGATCTCTGTACAAGCTCTCTAGAAAAGTTTTCTAGGCAAGATTTATGTAAGAGACCGCTTGGCAAGATCTCCGGAACAGATCTCTATGCAATGTCTCTGTACAAGATCTCTTTATGAAATCTCCTGCGCAATCTCTCTAGAAGAGTTCTCTTGGCAAGATCTATGTCAGAGACCTCTTGGCAAGATCTCTGCAACATCTCTCTCTATGCAACGTCTCTGTATAGGATCTCTATAAGAGGTCTCTTGGCAAGACACTTGAAGAGATCTCTCTATAAGAAATCTCCACACAAGATCTCTGTCAGAGACCTCAAAGTAAGGTCTCTGTTCAAGCTCCCTATAAAAGATCTCTCAGCAAGATCGCCGCTCTCTTCACCAGGTCTCCTTGTACAAGATCTCTCTAAGAGCCCTCCTGGCAAGATCTCCGTACAAGATCTCTATCAAGGCTCTCTCTGAGATCTCTTTAAAGAGGTCTCTTGGCAAGACCTCTGGACAAGAGGTCTATAAGAGATATTTCGGCTAGATCTCTTTATGAGATCTCTGTACAGTACAAGCTCTCTATAAAAGCTTTCTTGGCAAGATTTATGTAAGAGATCTCTTAACAAGATCTCCATAAGAGGTCTCTCAGCAAGATCTCTGTATAAGCTCCCTCTAAGAGGTCCTTTGGCAAGGATGTCTTGTTTTGCGGGGGCCTGCGCGGTCGAAATACACATGAACATTTCACAAGAACCATTTTGCGTGGAAATTCTGTATGGAAATTTACGGGGAATTGGCCGGACACGGATGATACCACCTCGATTGAACACCGTGCCTTAACTGTTACCGTAAGAACCCCTCGGTGTGGCCACACTGTTTGGGGACAAAACATTGCTTTTAGGGGATAGATACTTCAAAGTTGTTTCATGCAACATGATTCCCCAGGCAGCAAACACCCTTTCCACGCCAAATAGCGTGTAACAATACTAGCAGTCACTAGCATTCACAACAAAGTGGAGGCTAAGAAAGAAGCGGTTTGCGAAACAAGGTTTGCACCAGAAGCAGTTCCACTGGATTGAGGTGCACCGAACTCCATTTACAGGCATACGGCATACGGCTCAAACACTTTGTTTGGACAATCGCTGGGAGCAACGTGTCCTGTTTGTATGTTATTTGAAGCTCTCCCGCCTGCACGCAGTTCATCTGCTGCAATGGCATCACGTACTGCTGCTTTGGCTGCTCGTTGACAAAGCTCCGCCAAGTCAGCTCCACTGAATCCCTCTGTCTTTTGGGCAATGAAGGGTAACGGCACATTGGGAGCGACAGGAGACTTTTTCAACGTTGCCTCCAAGATGCCTTGCCTTGCGGGCAAATCAGGAAGTGGAATGTAAATGAGTTGATCCAAGCGTCCGGGACGGAGCAAAGCTTCATCCAACAGTTCTGGGCGGTTCGTGGCGCCGATGAAGAAGACATTTTTCTTGGCACCCACTCCATCAATCTCCGTCAGTAGCTGATTCATGACACGGTCTCCAGCACCTCCAGCATCACCTTGAGAGGAACCACGCGCCACACCCACAGAATCCAACTCATCAAAGAAGAGAACACAGGGAGCTGCCGCCCTGGCTTTGTCAAAGACTTCACGGACATTCGCCTCAGACTCTCCAAACCACATGGTCAAAAGCTCCGGGCCCTTGATGCTCACAAAGTTCGCAGAGCATTCGGAGGCCACGGCCTTGGCCAGCAGCGTCTTTCCACATCCAGGAGGGCCATAGAACAAAACACCCCTGGAGGGTTGCATGCCAAACTTCTCAAACTTCTCAGGGTGGTCGATGGGATACAAAATGGTCTCCTGCAAGGATCGCTTGGTGTCTTCCAAACCACCAATGTCGTCCCACTTGATGTTTGGCACTTCCACCACCTCAGGAGTGCAGATTGAATTCACTCACAAGCCATTGTTGTGGACACATGTGGACACGTTACGATTCAAGTGCCTCCTTTGCAACACCGAGTTGCTGTCTCTCGCAAGGAAGAGGGGTTGACGGTTCCCATTGCAGACTTGAAGTGCTCCTCACTGACACGCTTTTAATGACAAGCTGAAACCGCAAAAGAGGCAACAAATACGACACAAATTAGACATACAGGTTACCTACAGGTTCTAGATGTTTCTCGGATAGGGAAAGGCATCCATTGATCTCTGGGAGGTGATCGCGCACATGCTGCACGAAAGTGACAGATACATCGATCATCATCGATCTATCCAAGCAAACCAACCGCATTTCTCCAAGGAATGGAGGCACAACAACAGACATGTCGCTTGGGAATCGCATACTTAGTGTGGGTGAAAACAGGTGCCACATACTTCACAACTGCGGGCATCCACGTCTTCCCTCAATATAGCAGTTACAGTTCGTGACTAGCCGACTAGCTCCCAACTAGCAGCAATGGATAGCAATGGACTTGATAAGACTTGATCTCCTGCGAGACTGCCATTGAATCCAAAATCTCTGCATCAATGGTTTCTTCCTCCAGGTCGATCAAATCCATCTTCTCACCTGGACCGATGAAACAATGTGAAACCTGCAGATGACCTAGGTGACCTATGTATCCAATGCCCTGCCTTGACGAATGCCATTGGCAAGTACATCACACCAGCAGTTTTGCTTCTGAACCCATGTCGCTGTGCCCCGTCTCACCCAGCATCAAAGCCACCAGCTTCTCACTTATTTGGTTGTGATTGGAGTGCTGGTTTGCTAAGACAACTGAAGCAAGTCATGGACTTTCCTGGCAATTACTTGGGAAATCTTTGAACATTAGTTCCTTATTTGTTCCCCGAAACACGCACTGCCCAGTCACGAATGCATGTGAGGGCGGCTTCAGTGCAAAGTTGCGCCAGGTCTGCTCCAACAAAGCCGTGAGTGTTGGATGCCACCTCCTGCGGCAAAGAGTGATTAAGACTGAGTAAGAGACGGGAGCAGGCACAGAGAAGGCATGGTTTCATTTCAAAATGAAGATCGTGCTTCTCAGTCTGAAGCGTTTCCAAGCGCAGACCATTCTACAAGACTGAGCATGTGCGGCATTGTAGAATCAAAGCACTAACCATTCCTCCAGTTTCACATCAGTCGCCAACTTCATGTTTTTGCAGTGGATGCGCAGAATCTCCAACCTGCTTGGACTGTCATGTCGCCAGCACAGGACCCACAAGCAGAGTCCCACAGTCCAAAATCATGTTGGAGGCGCAAGGAATTTGAATATGTTTTAAACACGATCTGGTTGCGAGCGGCAGCCTCGAATTTACACAACATCCGAGAACTTGAGACAGGTGCAACAACTTGTGGCCAGGGGTGAAGGTACGAAAGCTAGCTGGCTGGGATATGCCCGTGGATGCCCGAAAGTTGCAAGTGTGAAATGGTGTGAGTGTACATATGAAATCGAAACAATGTGTTTATTCATCTGCTGCCAGTGTCAACTGTCCTGTGGGAGAGGGGGTGAATGAAGCTTGTTTCTGGAAGGGAGGCATACTTCTGGAAGCACAAGGTGAATTGAAGAGAAACTAGAACATGGGTAGAAAAACAAAAAACGGAAGCTGAAGGCCGAACATCAATGTTTTTGGAGAATCAAGACTGTTGAAGAGAGACGAGAATATGGCGAGAAATTCGCCCCCAAAACGGAAGCGGAAGATCAATGCTTTCTGGGTTCGATGCGCAGACAAGGAATATGCATACAAAGGAAAGAGATAGAAAGTGAGAGGAAGAGAGAGGACAATGATGACGATGAGGATGATGATGCTGATGGAGCTGACATCAAATGGACCCATAACATGATGCCTGTACCTGCCCTCCACCTTTCCCTGCGCAAATACACATTTTGCAGGTGCATTGCAGCGACAAAGGTGGACAAAGCACAAACCAGACGTTTCAGCTCAGACCAGGAGGCCTGGTTCACTTGTAGCAAAACCTTCAGCTGAGATCATTGGGTGTTTGAAAATGAGGAGAACGCACAGTTTCACAAGCGTAATGGCAAGCACCACAACCCAGACCATGCGGAGAGACACAATGAAAGGAGATGGCGAGGACACTGCGACTACTGAGATGAAAGCCCAGAGCTTGGGCACAGCATTGAGAACCCGACAACAGACTCCTTGTCCACAAACCAGTCAAGAATGGGAACTCTCATACCGTGACTTGCAAGGGCGTGAATATTGCCTTTCTCCTTTGGTAGTACCACGCTGGCACTGCGTGACACGCACAAATTACACATGAAGAGTTTGATTTTTGATTGGACGCACATGACACGTCTCATGCCATGTCTTTCGGGCCTGCCATTGTCGTCCGGGACACCAATGTCAAGTTCCCGGTCAAAGCGCCCAAATCGCCGAAGTGCAGCGTCAATGGAATTGGGACGGTTCGTAGCTGCAATGACCACCACCTGCACAAAGAATTGCTGTAACCAGGAAGCTGCTGGGAGAAACCATACCAAATACAAGATTTCATCAAGTGTCTTCACGCCAATACCATCCAATACCTAGTTTCATGAAATCTTCAAACTTCAGGTCACAACCGATCACTGACAAGGCGGTGGCCTGACCACGGCCCTTGATTCCATCCATTAGCGTCAAGAGCTGCGAAACCACGCGCTTTTCCTTGGCACCGCTGGCACCACTCAGACATTAAACATCAAGCGACAAACCATGTCAAATGTGGCATCAGTGTTTTCAAGAAGGTACTTTGGGGCCAAAACCCACAGGTCATCACCCCAAGTGTTTCTGTGCCAGCCCCTTTCACCCCCTGACTCGATGACAAGCAACAACTTCTCCGGATGTTTTGTCTCGCTTGGGGGCAATGGAGTCGATTTCATCAATGAAAATGATCGCAGGCGAATTTTTCCTCATGCAAACTGGCCGTGATGGGCCCTGTCTGGTGGGAGCTGTGCTGAACATCTGGTGAAAGTCAGTCGAATTCTAACGGCTGTCACTTCCTCTGGCTTGAAATCTTGCAATTCAACTATAAGCTTTGAGTGATGAAGTTCCTTGATTTGCTTGCTAAAACTACGGATCCACCGGAACAGTTGTTAAGTTAAGCCACTTAAACTACTGCTACCAAAACAAAGCTTGGGCCCTGACTCTGCTTCTTCGAATGCTTTACGCAGATTGGATTCCGCTTCCCCCGCCATTTTGGACATGATCTCAGGTCCATTGATGAGGAAGAAGAAGGCACCTAGTGCAAGACCGAAATTCAAAATGCAAGTGTCTGTGCACATCTCTTCCCAAACAGGATTGAAGCAAACGAAGCGCTATAAATAAAGCTGAATCCAATGGCAGAACCTGTTTCGTTGGCAATGGCCCTTGCGATCAAAGTCTTGCCGCTGCCTGTCAAACAAGAAGGCAAACCCACCAACGCATTGGCTGGATGAAACTCAAAGCAATGGAATGAGTTGTTGTAAAGGAATGAGTATGAGTCAGTATGAGTTAACATATGTTGAAAAAAGACTGTTTTTTACGCATTGTGACCCATCCGGGCGACTCCCCACCTGGAGGGCCGTAGAGCAGAACACCTCGGGGAGGCTTCACGCCCAGCGTCTTGAACCTTGGATACTCTCAAAAGTGTAAGTCTCCGTGAAAAGGGGCTTAATATGGCAAAATCTAGCAAGACCGCACCACCTCTCGATAGCTCTCCGATTTAGTGGCAGGATACAGCAACTGAAAGTTGCAAGAGTTCAAGTACTTGTTGTCCCAGGCACTTGCGGCGTGAAGAAGTTTTACGATGTACTAGTTGCATCATTCCAGCCCAGGGACAATGTTGGATGTCGCAGTGGCAGTTCAATCATCTCTCGGATCTGGCCCATAGCTTTCCTTCAACGACGGCACTCCGCTTCAAATGGAATTACATTCGCAGCTCATCAGCATGGCCCAGCCACATTCGAATTATATAATTATATAATATCTCGATACGCCATCACAAACCGGAACCAAAAAGCACAATCCACAAGATCCAGAAAGGCAAGTCCTAATGTTTCCTGGAAACAGGGGGGGCGAAAAAAAGCAAAAGCAAAACGACAGCAATCAAACCGAAATCAAACATCCCACCGGCTCGATTCCAACGAAAACCGCGCCACACCGCCCATGTTATTTCCCCAAAAGCATTGTCCGCATGCGAACTTCGGGGTGAAAACAGCATCATAGGTTGAGTCAACAATCAGTGCAGCTAGAGCATTGGTTGTCGTTTCATGTGCCGCCAACTTCTAGAAGACTACCTGCGCTTGCAAGATTTGCGGCAATATTTCTTCATTTGCGGAGGGCGGTTTTTGCTGGATGGTCAATCGTTCCATTCCGGGAACGCTGAGGGGGGTGTTTGTGCAGAGCATCCAGGTCACTTTGGCTCACAACACAGAAGCGTTTCAAAATGTTCCCTTCCAGCTGTTTTTTACAGGCAAATCCAGGAACTTGTGATGAAATGTGATGAAAGCATCTTCCAGCAGGGTTTGGCACACAAGGATGTAAACAGTCTGCCCTTGAGCGGTTTCAGACGCCTTGCCACACGGCAAAAACGCCGTAGCACAACCCGTTGTCGTTCTCACTGCTCCTAATGCTTGTGCAATGCCAACTCAGCATCGTCATGCAAGGCAATGTCCAATATGACTCCACAAAAAGTGATGAAGTCCTGCCTGATAGCAAGCTATTCATTCCCCTTCGTCCACATTCTCCCCAACAGCCAGTGTCCCCACCCATTTCACCCTCTCACACTCTCCGTCCGTGCACGCTGCCTCATGCCCAGCAGCCACTCCACGACCCATTTCTCCCATTTCCCTTCCCGTCCCTTCCCATTCCCTCCTTCGTTCCCTTCCTTTCCATTTTGCCCCCAGCATCGAAGATACTTTTGGGAAAAATCGGAGATGGACGGGGAAACAAGCTGGGAGGCAAGTCAAATCCTGGCTGTCAAGCCACCACAGAGACGCAGGGGATGATGAAGGAGCTAAACCTTCCAATATTGCATGACTTGAACAAACGCCACCGCCACATTCCAACAAGCGTCTTGCAACCACCAATGTCATCGTAACCCACATCGTCCAGCCGCTCTTCATCCTCGCGCTTCACAGGCTCTCCCTCGCAGTGAATCACTGTATCCGGTGCAACGATCACGAACTCACCTGGATCCACACCGACCACCTGGCAAGATCTGGCAAGATCTGGCAAGCTTCAGCATTCATGGCGTCCGGGCATCTTCAGCAGCTGAGAAAAACCCAACAGAACTAATACAATATGGCGACATTCCACTGTTTCATACTGTTTCTAATTCTTTCGTTTTCTGGGGGCACAGAAAAGATTGTAGACATTCGTAGGTTTTCTCTGCTAGCTGCCAGTAAATCTCAATGCGGTCCAATGCGGACCTTGAATTCTACTGGACGAAAACCACCGCGTACCAGAAAGAGGTCTCCCTGTCTCGCTGGGCGATATGCTTCCAAGTAGTAAGGTTTCAGGTAGGTGTCCTGATGTTTTCAGATGCTTCAGGTTTGAGGGTAGGACGACGGAGAAAGTCCCGAATGCAACTGAAGGCAGAGGTCCAGATCTCTGACAGTAAGTCCTTCGGTACCTGTTTGGGTTCCAGCACACTGGAAAATACCGGAAATGCAATTGCCAAGCGTCAAAAAGATTGCCCGTAATCCCTTCGATGGTGTCATCCAACGGAAGGACATGGATACGTTTGCCGTATGGCACATCACCACAAGCATGGACTGAAACAATGTCACCCAAACGCACACGGAGATTTTTTCGCACCACCTCAAGTGAAAGCCGAGGTTGCGTTCACATGCTCAAAGGATTCATTCCCCTAAGTGGGAGAATCAGGTGCCAAAAAAATATACAGTAAACAAAACACGTATGTATGCACATGTGTGTGGGTATCCCCTTTAATGTGTACACTCATTTCATTTCATTTCATTTAGTTTCATTTCATTACCTTACCCTACCCTACCCGACCCTACACTACACTACACTACACACATATTTGCTCAAACTGTTTTATCGAATTGTGATGTGGAACGCATCGGGTGTGCAAAAAAACGTTTTCGTTACACTTGTCAGGCCAGAGAGTTGGAAACTCCAGAGGTGGAAGGCCATCATCGACGTATCCAAGAGGAAATAAATAAATAGACGTGAAGCTCCAAAACCACAGTCTTGAGTTGCGCCAATAATGAAGAATGAAGTCCAAATTTGTCACCCTCATCCGTACATAAGCTTCCCATCAAAAGTATCCTAACGTGATCCTCGTTGAAATTCAGATTGCGCCAACAGTCCAGACATGAAGTGGAAAAACAAATCGTCTTGCCGGTTCTGAGCTTAGCCGTTGCAATAACGAGCGCAGGTACGTGCAATCTGCGTCCAGATTGCATATCACAGCAAACTTGGAATGTCTTCGTTGAGTGGCTATTACTCCCCTGGAACTAGAGTATATCAAGGCACACATCTATTGAGATGTTTCACACGCACGCCCCGCAGCAGCGAGGTTTTTAAGGCTCCGACACATGAGATGAAGGTGAATATGACGAAAGGGAAATGGAGATGAGATGACGATAAGAATGAGATGACAAACTACTTAACCAGGACACGAGAACGGGAACGCAAAAGAGGAAAGGGAAAAAAGGGGGAAACACCAACACCAACACACCTAGCCCAGAGCGGGCAAGCCTTGAAAGGGCAAGGGAAAAGAAAGCGGACGGAAGCGCCTGACACAACCTGCAAGGCGAGAGCCCAACCTACCTCATGACGCGAAGCACCCAAACCTGACCTAGCGAGGGAGCACGCATGAGATACGGGACCAATGGGGAACTAGTTAATGAAAATGATGCATCCACAATCGCATGCAAGAGCCGAGATAAGGCTCAAGGCCCTCGGTAATCAATTCAACCCTGTAGACGCCTGTCAATAGTCCCCAGCTGAATTAAGTGCACAATTGAACCTCACCAACGACCATAAAGAGGAAAAGTCACCATACCTGAAGGCATGTACCTGCCTGAGATCGTCAACATGTTGCCATGACAGTAGTCTGTCTCTCAAGCAACATTGAAAAAAGAAGGAGGTTCGCACGGCTGACAAAAGGAATTGAAGCCCGGTACTCCGGCCAGTTGTTCAATCAGCGACAAACGACAAGTTGAAAAGCGAAAGAAGGCGAAACCCGGTACCGCGGCCAGTTGTTCAACCAACGACAAACGACAGGGTGAAAAGTGAAAAAAGGCCAACTGTTACACTCTACATAGACAAATTACCACGTTGAAAACTGTAATTTCAGAGTAGGTTCCCAGTTCCTACCTAGAAAGATATTCCCCGAAGGGCTCATGTCATCCTGTCGAATCCGACATCACACATATTTGCTCAGAACTGTTTTATCGAATTGTGATGTGGAACGCATCGGGTGTGCAAAAAAACGTTTTCGTTACACTTGTCAGGCCAGAGAGTTGGAAACTCCAGAGGTGGAAGGCCATCATCGACGTATCCAAGAGGAAATAAACAAATAGACCTGAAGCTCCAAAACCAGTCTTGAGTTGCGCCAATAATGAAGAATGAAGTCCAAATTTGTCACCCTCATCCGTACATAAGCTTCCCATCAAAAGTATCCTAACGTGATCCTCGTTGAAATTCAGATTGCGCCAACAGTCCAGACATGAAGTGGAAAAACAAATCGTCTTGCCGGTTCTGAGCTTAGCCGGTTGCAATAACGAGCGCAGGTACGTGCAATCTGCGTCCAGATTGCATATCACAGCAAACTTGGAATGTCTTCGTTGAGGGTTGACTCCAAGAATGCCCACCACTCCCCTGGAACTAAGATATATCAAGGTACAAGTTTTACATCTATTGGGATGTTTCACACACATACACACACACATACATATATATATATATAATCGTATTATAACCGTATACCGTACGTATATACGCACCTATGGGCAAATATATGCATGTATATTTATAAAATATATATATATATATATATCTATCTATCTATCTATCTATGTTGGTATATTTATTTATGTATTTTTATTTATGTATTTATTTATGCACATACACATACTATATATCTCTCTCTCTCTCTCTGCGTGGGCACCGCGTAAGTGTGTGCGCGCGCGCATTCCTGTTCATGAAGCTTGCAAACATGACCTACGCTCTTGGAGATCCAAAGCTGCTTTATTCATGCGAATCTTGCTGTCGTCCAAGTTCTCATCTGCAAGAACGATGCACACGGTGTCCTGACAGCAAAATCCAACTCAAATCCTTTGTCGCTCTTCCCCCGAGAAAGCGGCTCACAAAATGCAAGAGATGTTCATCTGACTTCCCGCACACTATCCCCTCTACATGCCCTGGCAAAGCCCCAGTGAGAAAGCAAATGTCCTTTCGCTTTTTGCCCTTGATGAGGACGTTGTCTCCGCGAAAGAGGTTCAATTCTTCCATTTTTGCTTGTGAAAGGGAGATCACCGAATTGTCATCGTTCATGGCCTCTTCAACGACTAGTCTGTTCCTCGGAATATGGCAATATATTATGATGCAAAAACAAATCTTTTCAAAGACTCTTGGACTCTCACTCGCACCCCACTTTGCGAACAACGCGACACGCCTGAATAGACATGCCCACGACTCAACGCGACCGTACATAGTGGTCCCAATTTGAAAATTTTAGTGTGGAAACCGAAGAATTACTTCATATATATTACATCTAGTACACCCAAAATAAAACCCCCCCAGCCAAGAGGCGGGGAGCGCTTCTTCTGCGGCTTGGCATCTGGCACTGGGGCACTGGGAGCCTCGGGAGCCTCGTTCGCTTCAGCCATGACCTCAGGAAATGGGCTTGCCAAAGGGTTGCCGGTGCAGCGTTGAAGGCGCCTGTGGGAACCTCTGCAGACTGATCTGTCCCACACAGATGGAAATTGCGTGAGTTGCTTTAATCATTGCATAGTGACAGCAACAAAAATAATACTCCATCAAGCTAATTTCAATCATGCAAGCAAGAGGCCGATTGTTGGACGGTTCTACCAAAGCTGGAAGATTAATCGAATTGGTGCTGTGAGCCAAAAACAAAGGTGGTGAAGAGTTTGGATCCCACACGATGGCCACACGCTGTTTGGAAAATGGCGTGAGGCTGGGGTAGTATTGTGTAGCAGTGACTTACCGGGGACAGCCCGGACAGGTTTGTCTCGTCACTGCAGCTCCTCCAAGGCTTCCAAGAGCTCTGCTATGATGTCACAGCGCGAGAGATCGAAGCCACCCAAAAGGCCGTTCTCCCTGCGACGAACGGCACCAGCCAAGCAGCTGGGCAATGAAAACCATTGCCACAAGGACAGTGCGACTTGAGTTGCTCTTTTGGCTGGAAAGGATACTGGTGGGCTGGAAAGATCACGGTGATAGATGTAAAATAATAAAGGCCACGTTGTGCTATAGTTTTAGCAGGGTATCTCAGTGTATCGGTGCTGGTGACCAAGGAAAGAACCACACATTACCTGCAACAGCGTGGCCTGAAAGTCTCCAAGGACCCCACTGCAATCAAATAACCTTGTCAGGTCAGCTACAGCAAAAACAGAGCGCACCACTCAACCACCTGACACTTTACATGCCAATGTGGCATCTCCTCAATTTATCTCGCCATTGCGTTGCTGTCAGATAGGCATGGTCCACGGCTATGTCAATAGGACACATTTTCTCAACTGTGTTTTCCTTTTTTCTTCACCACGGTGGTCTCTTTGTGTAGCCAAGCAGCTTGGCATGCCTGCCCTTGGTGTCAGCTGTGGGCAATGAGGACACAAGACCAACGACACCCGGTGGAAGCGTGATGAAGCCCCTGATTGCAGCCTGATGCCTTATTCCTTCTCTCCAACATGCAGCAAAGCTACTGGGCTCCGGGGCATTCAGGATCCAAAATGACGCGAAGCAACTCCTCAGGAAGCGAATCGGCGCACCTGCTTGAAACACGACCCTTTTCGAAGATGGATTTTGTTTTGATCCAATCCTTTAATTAAGTCGATTGTTTTGCAACCTCAACGCTACTATATACTAAGGGTCAGCACTCCAATGAGGAAACGGGACAATGAAATTCCACTATGTTTGGTCAAACGCAGGTAGCGCCGGGTAGCGCCTTTCACAGCTGGGGCGGGAGGTGGTGGTGGGATGGGGGGGCTTATTCGCTAATAACGTTCGTTGTGCCTTCTTTCCTGTACAATAGTCGCTTTCAAGCCCTTCAATGCCACCAAGAGCATTGCAAGTTTCTGAGTTAGGGATCTGCTGAGGTAGTCGAAGTGTCGTGGTTTGGGAGCGAGCAACGACGTGATGTCGTTCCATGATACCAGATTATTATAGTTTCTACCAACAGTTTCAAAAGTTCGCTGGAAATCATCCGCCCTGCTAGACGATGGGTTCCTGCAATTAAATCAGGATGGTGCGCATATCAAAACAACATGGAAGCTCTCTTGACACAGAAAACGCCAGCGGTTTGCCGACATTTACCCAACACGTTGCGACTGAGGTTCCGTAACGGCCGCAACGTGAGAGTGGGCAGGCTGCATTAAGGCTTTGACCTCGGTGCGTTGGTGGCAAGGAGAGGCAGCAGGCGCGACAACATGCAACAGCATGCTATAACAAATTACCCCGGCAAGAGGCCCCAAGCAGTGTAGGGGGGTGGGAAGGATAATGCATCATAATGATGATGATGATGATGATGGTGATGATGATGATGACGATGACGATGACGATGATGACGATGATGATGTTGATGATGATGTTGATGATGATGATGACGATGATGACGATGATGACGATGACGATGATGACGATGATGACGATGATGACGATGAGGATGAAAAGCTGGAGGAAAAGCTGGAGGAAAAGCTGGAGGAAAGGCGGAAAGGACCTAAAAGCATCACTGGCTGCAAGCTAGCAGGACAAGAGCGACCCTAGTAGTGAAAAGAAGAGATGCCAGGTAGGACTCTGCAAGTTCCTTTTGTGAAGATCTCTGTAGAAGATCGTGCGCAAGATCTCCCGGACAGGTTCTCTGTAGAAGCGGCTGTGCAAGATTGTGTAAGGTATCTGTACAAGGTGTCTATAGGAGATCTCCACGGAAGATCTTTGTAAGGAATCTCAAACAGGAAGATCTCTGCTCAAACTGTCTAAATTTTATCTCAAAAGCAAGACCTCTGCTCTCTTCACCAGGTCTCTGTACAAGATCTCCACATGAGGTCTCCTGGCAAGATCTCTGTACAAGATCTCTATAAGAGCTCTGTTGGCAAGATCTCTGTAAGAGACCTCATGGCAAGATCTCTGCACAGATCTCTGCAAGAGGTGTCTTGTTAAGCCCTCCTACACAACATCTCTATGAGATGGCAGGATCTCCTTATGAGATCGCTGTACAAGCTCTCTATAAAACCTCTCTTGGCAAGATCTATGCCAGAGACCTCTTGGCAAAATCTCTGCAACAGGATCTCTACAATGTCGCTGTACAAGGTCTCGGTAAGACGTGCCCTGGCAAGACCTCTGTTCAAGATCTCTATAAGAGGTCTCTTTCAAGATCTCTGTAAGGGGCCTTTGGGCAAGGTCTCAAAAGATCTCCAAGATCTCTTTTGTAGAAACCTCTGTACAGGCTCTCTAGAACAGTTCTCTTGGCAAGATTTATGTAAGAGACTAAGATCTCTGCACAGATCTCTAGAAGGGGTCTCTTGGCTAGACCTCCTGGGCAAGATCTCTATAAGAGGTCTCTTGGCAACATCTCTTTATGAGATCTCTGTACAAGTTCTTTATAAGAGCTCTGCTGGCAAGATCTCTAAAGGAGACCTCAAGGCAAGATCTCTGCGCAGATCCCTGTAAAAGGTGTCTTGGCAAGACCTCCTGGACAAGATCTCTATAAGAGATCCGCAAGATCTCTTTATCAGATCTCTGTACAAGCTGTCTAGAAAAGCTCTCTTGGCAAGATTTACAGTATGTAAGAGACCTCTTGGCTAAATCTCTGCAACAGGATCTTTACAATGTCTCTGTACAAGGTCTCGGTAAGAGGTGCCCTGGCAAGACCTCTGCAAGATCTCAAAAGATCTCTATGCAATGTCTCTGTGCAAAATCTCTCTATGAAACCTCTGTACAGGCTCTCTAGAAGAGTTCTCTTGGCAAGATTTATGTAAGAGACCTCATGGCAAGATCTCTGTACAGATCTCTAGAAGAGGTCTGTCGGCAAGACCTCCTGGACAAGATCTCTATCAGATATCTCTTGGCAACATCTCTTTATGAGGTCTCTGTACAAGATCTCTATAAGAGGTCTCTTGGCAAGATCTCTGAAAGGGGCCTCTGGGCAAGATCTCAAAAGATCTCTATGCAATGTCTCTGTGCAAAATCTCTCTATGAAACCTCTGTACAGGCTTTCTAGAAGAGTTCTCTAGGCAAGATTTATGTAAGAGACCTCATGGCAAGATCTCTGTACAGATCTCTAGAAGAGGTCTGTCGGCAAGACCTCCTGGACAAGATCTCTATACCGCGGACAGACACTTTGTGCGAGCCGGCGCAGTCGAAATGCACGTCAACATTTCACAAGAGCCACGTTTTACAGGGTAGAGGACTCATCTGCGCACATGAAAGTGACTCACCTGCGCAGTGGATCCCAAACTCATCTGCGCACAGGAAACGAGACTCGCACGCATAGGAAACAGACTCACCTGCGCACAGGATAGCATGCATGAGACTCCAACCTTTAGGTGTATAAATTAGGGGAACAAGGGGGGAACAGGGGAAGAGGAAGGGCATATAAGAGAAACAACTGTTTAGGTGTATAAATTAGGGGAACAGGCACGGGGGGAACAGGGTGGGAACAGGGGAACAGGGGAACCTGGGTAGGAATAGGGGAACAGGGTGTGAACAGGGAAAAGGGGGGGCAAGGGAAAGGGCATATAAGAGAAAGAACCCTTTAGGTGTATCAACTAGGGGAACAGGGGGGTAACAGGGGAAGGGGAACAGGGAGGAACAGATATCCTGCATAGGTGTTTTACAGAAGGTTTTCATGCCTCAGCCGCTTCGAACCTGAAAGAATAAAGGCGCTTGCATTCCGCAAAAGCACCTGGTCGAAGTGATTGAACACTACACACATGAAACAAGAAAACACATTAGACCTTGAAGGTACCACAAATCTGAAACCAAAGGGATGTTGCTTGTGGCAGCAATCTTGAAAATTATGCTCGAGGTGGTAATCATGAACATGATGCTGTTTATGATCATGATGGTGTTGATGCGCGGGATGAATTCGATGCCTGTTATGATCCTCACGATCATCCTGATGATTATGCTGATGGCCATGAAAATCATGATGACCATGGCAATGTTGATGATCATGTTGATGTCGATGACCACAATGCCGTTGATGACCACGTTGGCCACGATGGTGGTTATGATCATGATTATGGCGATGATGATAATATTGATGATTCTGGTGATGTTGATGGTTTTGATGACGACCATGTTAATGATCATGCTGGTAATGTTAATGATGACAATGATGTTGATGGCAATGTCGATCATGTTGGTGTTGATGATCACCATGATGATGATGGTGATGAGGATCACGATGATGATGGTGATGATGGTGATGATGGTGATGATGGTGATGATGGTGATGATGATGATGATGGTGATGATGGTGATGATGATGATGATGATACTGATGATGATGATCAAGATCATGGTGATGATCATGATCATGATCATAATCATGATGATCTGGATGAATGAAGGGGCATCCGGTGCACAGGCGATTCGGGCCATCCCGTGCACCAGCGAGCCAAAATCCCGTGCACACATGGGTTGTTTCCCCAAAACTCAGAAACACCACAAAAGCACCTTTTTGCATCTTGAGCCCAAAGAAAGCTGGCGTTAGAAGTGATGACCTGGGAAGGCAGGATACCATACATATGAAAGCATGCAGCCATATATACAAATCTTTCAAGTCTCGCCGTGCTGTACACGGCCAATCACAGAGCTACAACCTGTGTGTGTATATATACATAAAGAAATAAAGCTGGCCAGGCCTACGGTCGGATGCAACCTTGATATGCTTCAAGGCTAAGAAGGATTCCAGGGAGAGGATGGAAGGATTCTTTTTACTGGATCCATCATGCCCGGCGATTGCTGTGCGTCCACCTAAGGAGCAATACTTAATTACAGATGCACGAGATCCATATGGATGCTGGTGCAGGGCTTTGGCAGCCAATCACCATTAGGCAGTGAAATTGAAATTGAAAGTCTTAGGAAAATCCAAACGAAGTCCAAAAAAAATGACTGAAGCAAATCATATCCAAAAGACGGTGACTGGTAGTGCAGATGGAACTTAATTACATCCGCACATCTGTGGGCTTAGGGACTTGCAACATGCTGAATGAAACTTCAGCAGTTGAGATTGAAACCCAGAATGGAAAATGGCAAAGCTAAATTATCCAAAGGAGATTGAGTGATTGCGCAATCGTTTGGGAGTGAAAGAACTGACATCAGTTGAAAGTCAAGTGGAGAAGCTTATGTAAACTTCATGTTCAACAAAGACAATGCGCGCTCCCGTTTCTGCATAGGGAGTCCTTTTGTCATGATGTCACTTCTTTGATCATTGGTGCCAACATGTTGGATGAGCATGTCCTCATTTTGATTGACAACTTCGCAAGTCGATGCAACGTTCACACGATGGGTTTTCGCAAGGTGACGAAGTTTCCGGGAGAAACCTTTGCAAATGATTGATGCCACAGCGATGCTATCCTCCGAAATTCTTAGGGTCATCGGAGGGCGAATGACTTGCCACAGTTCCAAAGGTGGTAAGCCGTGATGCAAATTCTGATTCCGTAGCACTGCGGCTCACAACGCTTTGATTTTCCGATGTAATGACATAGCCTGAAGTTGATCCAAAGACATTTGAAATTCATCCAT